GGGCGGGGGGGGGGGGGGGGAGCTCAAAAATGTTAAGTGGGACGCAGCTGAAACCAGGTGCAGCAGCATGTGACTCGGGATTGTCAGCTCATTCAAGTGACGTGGGCGTCAACAATCATCATGAGGTGCAATACGGGTGCAAAAACGTTGCAGGTGAGACGCGGCCACCGGTTTCCGGGTCACCTGTGTCATCTTCTCCCTGTTGGCCTTGGGATTGAGCGGCGCTTCGGTCAGGAGGGTGGGATGCTCTTCGGGGGCCACTCGCAGCTCGTTGTAAAAAGAGTGATGCCAGATCTGGCCAATCGGAGAGCACAAAACACGTTCAAAGGCGCCCGCCGCTCGAATAGAAGAAGAAGAAGAAGCGTCCGGAAGGCCACCTTCTCCATGTCGTCCCAGTTGGTGATGATTCCGTGCTCGATGGGATACTTGAGGGTGAGGATTCCACGCTTGCTCTGAGCCTCGTCACCGACGTAGCTGTCCTTCTGGCCCATGCCCACCATCACCCCCTGACACACACACACACACACCATCAGACCACAATGCAGACAGCGTCGAAAAAAAAAAAAAAAAAAAAAGAGCAGTTCGGCGGCGACCTGGTGCCTGGGCCGGCCCACGATGGACGGGAAGACGGCCCTGGGCGCGTCATCTCCGGCAAATCCAGCTTTGCAAAGTCCCGATCCGTTGTCGCACACCAGGGCGGTGCTCTCCTCGTCGTCGCACATGGCTGCAGGCAGGGGATGCTACCACGCTAAGGGGAGGGCACACACACACATACACACACACACAGATGTTGAACACACCTGATGGGGTGCGCTAACAAGTCTGGCGGAACACGCAGGGGCTGAAGGCACTCTGGACAAACTTCCTAATTTGGGCATGCGGTGGCGTCCTGCCTGGCCGTGCCCACCCACACCTCTCAGCTGTGTGCACCATATTTGGACATCACATTCCTCCGCGCTCGCAAACGGACCCGCTGCGACCGGAGACGGCCGACGTGCGTTGAGATTTTCAGTGGGCGCCCACAGTCCGGCGGATAAAAGACAACCGAGTGGAAGAGGAGGCGGGAGGCGATGGAGAGGGATGCGATGAGGAGGGCGAACGGATGAAGATGAGGAGGTGATGAAGATGAGGAGGTGAGGAAGTTGAGGAGAATGTGAAGAAGAGACTTTGGAGATCTTACCGCGGTGCTGCTGGACGCGGGGAAGGTCGGGAAAGCTGGAGAAGTGAGCGAGCGGGCAAACAAGTGAGGCTCGCGTCTTGAGGAGACACCTTAAGAAGCCTCCTCCTCCTCCTCCTCTTCCTCCTCTCATCCAGCCAAACAAGGAGCGGTCCCCCTATTCCGCACCCCCCCCGCCCCTGGTCCCCTCGGCGCAGTCGGTCCGCTCGGCTCCTTGTAGGGCAGGCCTTGGGGGAGTTGGCCAATGGCGCGTCGGGGACGTCCTCCCGCTTTCATACTTTGCCGCATTTTCATCATGAAGATGTTTGGGATGTTGCTTTTCTCCTTCCTTAGCCTCGGTTGTTTTTGCCAGTTCTGGTTCTTGTCGTGGTCAAGGTCCAAGTTCTTTTTCCGTTCCAACTTCTCCCTCTTGTCCAGGTTCTTCTCCTGATTCAGATTGTTCTGCCCACCTTGTATCAGGGTCCCTTTTGTTGAGGTCCTCAATGAGGCTCGCTGACCCTATGCTGACCTTGCGTTGACCTTCCGTGCCTTTTTAGACACGCCCCCTCCGCCGGATCCACCAATCAGCAGGCTTGGGTTCTTTGGCTTCTCCTGAGCTCAAAATGATGCTGGTGACATTGTTAGAATTGTGGGTAATGTAGTTGATAGGTCCCGAGGAAGACGTGGATGAAGATGAGGCCAAAGGTCCTGATGGAAGCGCACACACTCGCTTCTCCTTAAAAGGAAAATGGACGACGCACGAGACAACTTCCTGCTCAAGCGTGCATCAAAAGTCCAACAAGGAGCAAAACATCGGAGTGTCATCAAGTCCTAAAAAGGAGCTGAGGAGACATGCGACCCCCCCCCACACTCTCCACCACCCCCAGGAGAAAAAAAAAATATCTGAGGGAGGGGCCACCAATTGATCACCTTCTCATTTCTCACGCACCCGCGCACGCACAGTTTTGCTTGACGTTGACCGAAAATGGGAAAACTTTTGTACTGTAGACGGACTTGTGAAGCTCGAATGTGATTGGTCGGCTTACATCCACACATGTAGCTGCTGTGGAATGTGTGTGAATGTGTGTGTGTGTGTGTGTGTGTGAGTGAGTTGGGTGGGGGGGCGAGTGTGTTTTTATGCGTCTTGGCTGTTTTTTTGTGGACCCGTCTGGAAAGATTTGTGGAATGTGGAGACTTTGAGCGTTAGTGAGTGCAGTGTTGCTCTCTGAACAGCAGGCGGTGCCGCTGATGTATGAAAAAAATCGTTTTATTCAATTGGATTCAGCACTCCCGTTTTTTTTCCCACCGCATTCTCAGTGCGAAAATTGTTTAACACAAAATTGTGTTGACCTATCTTTGCCAGCGACTAAGCTGACAGGCATAACGCAAACAGAATGCCAATCTTTGTCTTCAAAACTGATGACAAACCGAGTTTTTTCCTGAGACCATCCAGCCAGCGGGCGATGGCCAAGTTGATGGATGGGCAACACGGCTGCCTTCTCCCGACAGTGCGACCAGACGCTCAGCCCCGCCCTCATTTATCCTCCAGTGACACAGGAACGCCCGTCGCCCCTCGTGACGTCACGTACACACCCGCCACCCGCCCAAACATCACCGCTGATGTTCTATTTTTTATGTTGAGAATGAAAGAGGGAATGTGTGGCACATTAGAGCGACCAATTACCACCCCTGATCACACTGACAAGCATCAATACTTTTTAAAAAAACTTTACTAAAATATTTTACAGATGACATCACACACAGACACACACATGGTATGTGTGTGCATGAGGGTCAGTGTTTGTGTGTTGTCCAGAAGTCAAGCTCCGCCTCCTGACTGGAACGCAAGCTGTCATCAACAAGTCGCTGCAGATCGCCATCCAGCAGCGACCAATTCACTCTGAAAACTTCCTGGAAGGGAAAAAATACAATTTGACTTTTGCGTGTCTGCGCGTGTATGTAGTGTGCGTGTGCGTATGCACCTTCTTCTTCTTGTGTCTGGGTGCAGCTACGGGTGGGTTGAAGGTCATGTCTTTAATGTCATAATCGTCAAACAGCTGCACCGGCGACCTGGACAGGAAGTCCTCAAACGTTAGCGCAGCAAACCACACGGTCGCGGCACGCTGGCGGCGAGCAGCGCAAGATGATGACGCGTATTAGTACCTGCGACTCAGCTCCTGCGGCAGCGCCCCGCTGCCTTCGCTGGGGGCGCCGCGACTCAGATGGGACGCCAGTTGCCGCACCACTGGGTGGAAATGTCTCTGCGGACACGCCGTCATGTTGTGGAAACGTCAGGTCGCACCGATGCGCTGTGCTGCGTGTGCGGGCGTGTACCTGCAGTGCGTGGAGCTCCCACAAGGCGGTGTTGTGAGCGTTGCAGTGTTCGGGGTGGTGCAGTTCGGGCAGGTACAAGCCGCTGCCCTGAACCTCGTTGTCCAGCAGGAAGTCGGATCTTGGAAATGACTGACATCACAAAAGACAGGAAGCCAAAAAAAAAGTCACTTTGGTTGACATGTTAGCTGCTTGTCATATACGCAAGCACTCACATGCAGCGCGGCCCTGGCGGCGGCGAGGAGTCCGACGCTGGCGTGCGACTGGACGTGCAAGCTGAGCACGCTGATCCGCTTGATGAAGGCCATCGCCCTCTGCAGGCTCACCTGCTTCCTGCGGCGGATCAACATTGCGTCCAGGCAGCGCAGCACGATGAAAATTTCGTCATCGGGAGCTCCTGAGGGACACGGTTCGTCAGCACTCAAACTCTCGAGTTGTCAGTCCAGCAATAATATTAGGTGCTCTTCACGGAGGATAAAGAACACATGCCAAGAGTTTGCTCATGTCTGTCGGTGTTGCTGCACCTTTTGTGTTTCAATTTCCTAAAACTGCAGTATGTCACCTTTTTGTTGCGTATACAGCAGACGTTTGAAAGCGGGCGATAACTACAGCTGAGTTGAGACCACCAACCTGCATGCAGCTGTGGCAACATGGCGTAGAGCTCCGAGTAAAAGTTCAGGGGGTCGATATTGAGGACGTCACCTGCCACGCACAAACGCTCACATCACTGACCCGTGCAGGTGGCCGCAAACATACGCACGCACGCGCACGCACACACCTTGTCCCGTCAGGATGGTGAAGACAGTCTGGATGCAGTGAAGTCTCTCCCGATTGCTCAGATCCTGCACGGCAATGAACAATCAAATGAATCGTCTGGTATTGGATAGTGGTGAGTGGGCGGAGTCTGCGTCATACTCACTCCTGATTGGATAAGGCCCTGAAGCACATTGAGCAGGTCATCAAAGAACTCCAAGTTGATCAAATGGGCAAAACTGACAGGAAGTGACATCAGAGAGTGCGTGTGTGTGAGCGCGTGTGGGTGAACGGGTGACTCTGCGCGTGTGTTTGCGTTACTTGGCCAGCCCCTCCAACACCGCAGGGAGGAGGACAGACTTGTGAGCTTTCTTCAAAATTCGAAAGTAGATCAGGAAGACGATATTCAGTGTCTCCGTGTGCTGCAGGAAGAAAGAAGAAGAGGAATGTCAGAAGAGAGAAAGGAGCGGCTAACGTGCTTGAGCGAACCAAAATGTGACTTTCGGACTGCGAGGTGAGCGAATGTGATCGACAAACGGCGACGTTGTGCTGGGCACCATTTTCATCTTCTTTTCTTTGCTGTCCGACGCTTCAGTTTCGAGAAGCTCCTGCTGCAGCTTCTCCTCCGCCTTCTTCCACTGCACCAACGCAAACATAAACAGAGGGAAAGCGTTATTGCCGGCGACTGACGAGACGGGCGAGACGCTACGCCGACGTCAGGTTACCTTCCGCCGCATGCGTGACAGCTGGTTCTTCTTGTCTTTGTGGTGCATGGCCTTCATGGTGGGCGTCGTGTCCTTCAGGTCCTTCTTCACCAACACTTCCTGGATTCGCACGCTCAGGAGCGTCTGCAGCACCTGCTCCAGTTCACAATCAAAATATGACGCCCATCACAATAAAAGGGCTACTTTTTCCTTCTACTTATTGTTCAAATGTAGACCTTTTGAGACGTTTGTGGGTTCCCTCACCTTGGGCCTGACGTTGTAGTTGAGACGTTTGACGAGACCCGAGATGACTCGCACAGCGGCGAGCGAGGGTCCGCCGACCTTGTCTTGGCGAAAGAGTTCGGTGAAGGCGCGGCAGCACGTGTCAGACACCTGCGCCGAGACAAGTGAGTCAGGCGTGACAAGACGTGACGGGACGAGACGAGCTTGGGGGCACCCACCGTCTTGACGGGGTCGTTCAGCAGCGGCGCCAGGGCCACCAGGATGTTGTTGTGGAAGTTGAAATGCGTCATGGCGACGAGCAGCTCGCACAGGCAGCGCACGGCCACCACGGCCAGGCCTGAGTAACTGTCCAGAGAAACCGCTTGGCTGCGCTTGCTCTTCTTCTGCTTCCAGTCTGCACGCAAACACAAATAGAGATTCTTTTTCACATCAGCCAACCCCGCACCCTGTGGATTACCTTCCGAGGGGCAATTGTAAATAGGGCTGGGTGATTATATGATTAATAATGGTAATAGCATGTGACGAGCTGTGATATTTACCGGAAGCGGCGGAAAAACGAACGAGTGTTCGGTGCTCACCTTTGATGCACTGTTCCAAATCCTCCAAGTAGAACTTGTACTGACTCAGCAGGACTTCCTCAAACTCCCGCAGCTGCTGGGTCTCCTTCTTAACCTGCGACGCCGATGACATCATCATCACCATTCTCGTCACCAATGGAATCATTACACTCACGCGAGCGCAGAGACGCTACCTTGGTGGCTTTCTCAGTGGCGGTCAAAGGTCGAATCTTGTAAGTGGGAGTGATGTCTTTGAAGATTTCCATCAGCGACACCATCACCAACTTCCTGACTGTCACCGCCATGCAAGGGTCCACCTCCATCAGCATGCCACGCAGCTGCTTCACGCACTTCATCTGCACGCATACATGCAAAACAGCCGTGACCTCTCTCACGAAATTAAAACAAAACAAAAACAAGCGCACATATGATCAAAACCTGCACACTGACAAAACGCAGGTAAACACATTCACACACACGAGCGGAGGTCTGACATTGGTGCTGGGGTTGGCGATGACGGTGGATGCCAAGTGCGCGATGGTCAGCTTCCGGTCTTGGATCTTGCGCGCCCTCACTTTCTGTTGCTGTGCCGGCGTCAGCGGCGCATCGTTCACTAGCTTTGCCGCTCCTGAAAACAAGGTCGGGGGCCACGTGATTGACAGCCAACGGGAGGAAAGGGCACGGCCAGCTTCCCTGGTCGCTATGGTGATGATTCTGTTCAAAAGATGCCTGCAAGCGGCTTGTCAAGCTTCAATAAGGTTTTACGGTCATCCGTACCGATTTCAGCCTCCTGTGTGGGTTCCTCTTCCTCATCCTCTTCCTCGTCCGACTGCTTGGTCACCACTGCACATGCACAACAGATGGCCATCAAAAGTTGGTGAGAAAGTCGTTTAGCGATGGTTAACATTAGTTTGAGTGCTAATTGTTGCTGCGCGACACCGTGCGCTGCGGTGGCGTGTAAATATCGGCCCTTGGACGTCACCTCTGTGCATGCTCTGCGGGATGAGTCGTGTCTTGTCTTTGATGGGCAGCAAGTGTATGACTTCCTCCTCCGGCACGGCGGCCATCTTCCTGGGAATCTTCTCGTAGCCTCGGACCACTTCAGACTTGCGCTTCTTGGTGCTGTGCTCTGAATCACTAAGACGCACATGCCTCAGACACACCTTGTATACATGCATGGGTGTGTGCGTGTGTGTGTGTGTGTGTGTGATTACCATGACGACAGATCCCTGCTGAGGAATGAGGACATGTGCTGCAGGTCGGTGTCGTCCATCATGTCAGTTGGCAAACTCTCCAGGAAGTCCTCCTCCTCCTCTTCCTCCTCTGACATCATACACACGGCACATGTCGATTACACACAGGTGGCATGATGGTCGCAGTTCGAAATGGCATGCGTGCGTGCAGTCTCACCGGGCTTTTTGGCGGTGACGTCAAGTGGGCGCGGCGTGGCCTGTGCAACGCCCTTGAGCGCCTGCCGCAGCTTCCTGTGCTCCTTGCGCTGCTTCTTGGAGATGTTTTGTTGCTTCATCTGCCGGTTCTTCAGCTTGTTGTCCAGCTTCAGGTTGCTCGTTTTCAGCAACCGCCGGAACGACGGGCGGCGCTTCTTGGTGTGAGACTGCAACCAGGCACCAAAGAGCGACGGAGGCAGGGCACAAAAAGACAGATTGCAAGCAAGGCAGTGTCATTCACCCTCATAAACATCGTTTTTGTTGAAGAGCAAATGGCAAATATTTTCTGCAAATTGTGAGGAATCATTTGTGCACAGTTGTGGCTGGTTGTACGTATGCTAGATCCCTTTTTGAAATGTTTTTGCGAGCAGCCTGATGGGACAGTCGGGCCACAGTGAGCATCCGGTTGGGTCCCTTGGTGCGACCCTTTGCTATTCGCCGTTTGTGTGTCAGGACAGGCGTAAAATTTGTGCCAAACATCTACAGGTTACCTGCTGAGGTGACAAAACAACAACCTTGCTGTCTGCAAAAAAAACAGTGTCTTTTTTATTTTGTTTTCTTTTTGGACGGCACCACGAGCCCATGATTCCACACTTAAAATAAGACAACAAACGCCTGCATTCATTGCTAGTTGTTTTGTTTGCGGCGTAGAGTCTAACCACGACGTAAAATGAAATCCAATCGTTTGAAGTCGCTGAGAAAGTTGGACGTGATAAAACATGGATTCATCAAGATCCTCCGGCCACAACTGCACGTCGCGATTGATTTTTGCACAAATCAGACTCACCGGAGCCATAATAACGATGAAAAGTGTTCAGGTAGACGGACGACAGATGCGAGAAGTCCACACGCGTGGAGACAGACTCTCCGACCCGGAAACTAACACAGCTAGAAGGACTGAAATGTCAACGCTACGCTAAGAACAGCGACCCTAGCGACAGGAGGCCGCACTGCACCTTGTCGACCTAAATGCTTCTTAAATATTCACAACTCAGATTTGAAACGAAGAAACGCAACTGGAACAAAGTGCTGTGAACAAGACAGAAGAGAATAATTAACCTCCTCGAGTTGAGAGTGGGCGCCCAGGCCTCCGAACCACGAATGTGCCGACCACTCATTGGCCGTGCAGCCTTTCTTGCAATGAAATAGACAAACTCAGCTTTGGCACAATCCAAGACTTTATTCAAGAAAGGCGAAGACGTGACACGAGCAGGCAGCGTTCGGCGTGCGCTAGCTGTAGCCGCACTTGTGCGTTTTGAGGTTTCGCCCGTTGGCGTAGCCCTTTCCGCACTTGTCGCAGATGAAGCGTTTGCCGCCGTCATGCACGTGAGTCTTGTGCGTGCGCAGATGGCTTCCCTGGGTAAAAGTCTTGGCGCAGATGTCGCAGGTGTACGGCCGCTCGCCCGTGTGCACGCGCACGTGCAGCTTTAGGCTGTTGGCGTTGTTGAAGGTCTTGAGGCAGGACGTGCAGACGAATGGCCGTTCGTCAGAGTGCGTGCGGCCGTGTGTGATGAGGCTGCTCTGCTGGCTGAAGGTCTTGCCGCATTGGCGGCACGCGTACGGCCGCTCGCCAGTGTGCACGCGGCGGTGGATCTTCAGATTGACCGCCTGGCGGAAAGTCTTGCCGCAGACGTCGCAGGTGAAGGGCCGCGCGCCGCTGTGGACGCGCAGGTGGTTCTTCAGGTTGGCGGCATGCCGGAAGCTTTTGGGGCACTGCTCGCACTTGAGGGGCTTCTGGCCCGTGTGGATCAGCTCGTGGGTCCGAAGCGCCACGGCGCGTGTGAAGCCTTTCCCGCACACACCGCAGCAAAACTTCTTGATCCCCATGTGGCCGCGGGTGTGCCGCCGCAGGTTTTGTCTCAGGGTGAAGCAGCGGCCACAGACCTCACAGGCGAACGGCTTCACGTTGGCACTCTCCTGTCCCAGTTGGTGGCGCCGGGCCGATTGGCTCGGAGACGACAAGGACTTCCTGCGGCGTACTCGCACCTCAGGCTTCTGCGTGGTGCCGTCGGCCGCCAACTCGTTCCAGCTTGCAGGAAGCGTTGCGCCTAGTCCGGCGCCTAGCAGGAGATTAAAAAAAAAAAAGACATGAGTGGAATTGTGCTGGTCACGGGCAGAGAGTTACACTCAGCGCTAAACGAGATATCTACTAGGCTTTGTTGCACGTCACGCCGTGACGTCCTATCCACTGCCATATTATGATTGAGCCTTCCCAATATGACAACGGTCTATTCATAGTTTCCATTACCCAGTACAAGTCCTCAAGACAACACAAACAATACCGCAAACATGATGGTTAAAAAAACAATAAATAAATGGCTTAGTGACAGGTTGTGTCTCCAAAAACTCCCAAGTGGCAGTAGCCCAGTATCAATTTTGTTTTGGGCACGGTGGGGTTCTCACGCTCAGCAATGGCATCCAGGTCCACGTGTCCGTGCTGGTCTTTGATGCTGACGGCCAGGATCAACGGCGGCTCCTCTGGTGGTTGGTCCTGCTTCCACAAATCCATTAACGAAGTCAGGCAAGCGGGAAGGAGGCCAGACGAGCGTGCAGACTTACCTGAGCCAGAGCGGGAAGGTGGCGATTCGGGGGAGGGACGCCGTACGAGTGCTCCGCCTCTGTGTGGGCGAATGCGGGGACAACAGTTTAGCTTCGTGAGTTGTCACATGTCAAGCAAATGGGCTCAGGACATACCCACACAGGCGTTGTTGAGGACGCTGACAATGGCGATCTGTGCCGTCTCGCCGCCGTGCGCTCCCTCACCGTCCCGTCTTGGTTTGACGTCATCCACGATGTTGACGATCTTCCCCAAAGCCTCGTTTGCCAGTGTCTCCAAGATGGCGGCAAAGCACACCTGGGACAGACGTTCCATGTTACGCCACAGTGAAACACGAGTCCGACAGCAAGGGCCAGCGACTGTACCATGCATCACTGGATACCATTTGAGCACTAACTACCATTTCTAACCCTGATGTTAAAACTGAAAATGGTTTTGGTTTTGCAAGTACATGAATGAACGGTTTGTGCACTTGGTAACTTGTCACTTTCTGACTTGCATTCGTTCATCTGCCACATCAAATATGGCGGACAGGATGACGTATCAACACGGGCCTAGTGCTCAGTGAGGAGAGTCTATGATAAAATCGCCGCATTTACGTCTTATTTTATACGTCTCTGCTACCAACGGATATATGAATGGACTCCCTCGCGACTGAAGCCTGAGGGCAGCCATCTTCCGTTGCCAATGTGACGGACACAAACTATTGCACGCTGAACTAGTTGCCAGGCAATCGCAGAGCACATGTCCGAGTCTTTCGGGAGCATTCGCACAAAAGAGAACATTGAAAATAACATTCTTCTCGATGAAATGAGCGTGTCGCGCTTCCCCTACACTCACTGGTACAACCGTATGCATGTTCGCCGTAAATACAGGAAATAACACCAGAACATCGAAATGCGAGCTTGAGAGCAGCAGAGATTAACGAGTGGCAACGTAAGATGGCCGCCTGTGGCTTCGCTTCTCCCGACGGCGAGTAAGCGACATTGTCAGTCCATACTTATGTTAGGTCCGTGTTCTCCGGGCGACTCACCAGCCTCTCACGACTCTCTTTGCGTACGCTGTCCGCACGCAGAAGTTGGTCTCCGGGGCGGAGGTCGACCGGCGGTCCGCTTCCGCCTTCCTGCTGCTTGTGGAGCTCGGCCACAGCGGCGTGCACGAACGCCTCCATGACGGCGGCCAGCTGCGCGTGCAAGTCCGCACGCATGTCGATGGCTAACGCAAACCGATGACTCTTCTTGTACTTCTTACTTTACTTGTGCACTCATTTCTAAATTTTCACAAGATGCTTCACCAACCCTTCTGACGATAGCTAACGTACACAACGAGGATTCACTTCCTCTGAACGATTTGATTTTTTTCCGGGTCAAACTTCCGGAAGTTTCCAAGTGTATAAATCAAAGAGTGAGACATCAATAAAGACAAATCAAGTTGTGTGATGAGTGTAATTAGAGATGACAACTTAAGAAAAGTACAACACAATTCTTGTTTGTCATTATTTATTAATGCGTCTTTTTGTGGCACAAAAGTCAACAGTGTATTCGACATTTCTAATGTTTTTCTTTAGGTGCATATCGCCAAGAGTTACAATAGACTTATTAAATTAATTTTCTCTCCAAAATATAATAAGAGCTTCCTTCACACACCTGATATTCTTTTCCGCTTCCGCTCGGAGCTTCAAATTAAACTGTTTTGTTCTTCTTCTTCAGCTTCGTCTTCGATATTCCGTCAGTTTGTTCTGCCCCCTGACGGAAATATTTGGAATTACACCATACAACAACTTCATTTCCCACAAGGCATTTCGATGTTTCGCTCTGCACGTGCCTCCTCCTCGTCATCATCACAATCATGTCGGTCTTCATGGACTTAAACTTGACTTTCTCTGCAGATAGAAGCAACATGCAACAAATCATCGACACGGCAGCTTATCGTGAGTCTCGCAACACTAAAATGGACTAGAGCGCTTGGATAAAGTTGACTTTATTTCATCCCAAAAGAGAGAGCTAGGCTAACGAAGCTAATGGTGCATACATGGGCGCACAGACACAGAACGCTGTCCTCAGTGAATCAATCAATACTTTCTCTACTGTGACATCAAAAACGATAATCAAATCACCTATGTTGTTTTGGTGCAGTTGGTTTCTCCACGGTAGCCGTCAACTATACGTTTGAACCCTCTATCAAAAAGAAAGAGGTGAGACACTCAGTGACTCACTCACGGATGCAATTGAAAGCAAAAAGCGCATTGAAACTGACACACAGGGGGTTGTATTTTCTTGTCTATAGACGGTTCCGTCACCCAAGCCGGTCGAAGACCTCATTGATCAGCTGCCTATCGTCCAGGTGATCACCAATTGTTTTGTCCCTGTGTTCACGCTGCGACTAAATTTCATTTGAGTTGCCATGTTTGTATATGTGCGTCCGTGCGCCAGGGTCGCTCTCGACCAATCCGAGTGCTCAACAGACTGACGCTGGTGCTGTCGGAGCTGAGTCACTTTGTAAGTACTTTTGTCAAGTCTGCACTGCCACTAGAAAACCCCATGACACAAGTTTGCGCCTGTGTGTTTGTGCAGAGGCCAAACCTTACGGAGTATGCCAACTTTGACCTCCTGGCGGTCCAACCAACAACAGAAAAACTTTTTCACGTGAGCCACGTACTCACACACGCACAAATGTAATAAATAAAAAAATATATACAGTCACTCACTGTCATTTGTTGTTAAAGGCGGCCTGCACGCAGTTGGAGGTTGATGTGATCAGCGTGGCGATGACGGAAAAACTTCCCTTCTTCTTCAAGAGAGCTCCAGTCAACGTGGTGACGAATTATTTAGACTCGATATTGCAGAAATATGCGGACAATGACGTCGACTTAGTGAGCGTGCATGTGCGTAGGCTCTGGAGAGGGGTTTGGCGTTTGAAGTGTCCTACACTGCCGCCATCAGAGATGCCACCATGAGGCGCTACACTATTGCTAACGCTGTTAGCCTGGTGCAGGCCTGCAAAGGGAAGGTGAGGATGATGATAATGATGATGACATGATAAACGTGACCGTGATGTCCGCTCTCGTGTCTTTTAGAACGTGCTGGTGTCGAGTGCAGCGATGAAGGTGCGGCACCTGTTGCTTCTTGGAGAATATATGTGGGTGTTTGTTTTTGTGACATGCATTTGTGTGTCCAGCCTCAGGAGCTCCGAGGACCCTATGACATCATCAACCTGTATCCTTGACCCCACTCACTGCCCTTGCGGCTCCTCAAAAGTGCACATTTTCCTGATGCGTACTCAGATGCTCGTTGATGGGTCTGTCCGACGAGGAAGCTAAGCGCTCAGTTTCCTCCATCTGTCGCTCGCTTTTACTGCATGCAGGTAGTTGGTCAAAGTAGGCGGGGCTTACATCACAGGTGTGTCATGAATTTTGATTTTTTTTTTTTTTTTGTCGCAGAAACCAGGAAGGCCGCAAGCGGCGTCATTTCCACCAAAAAGAGCTGCGGCGAGAAACCCCAGCAGCAGGAGGCTCCCATATCTCGTACGTGATGGCGGGCTTGTCTAACGGGGTGGGGCCTATTCATAGATTTTGCTTTCCTTGGCAGGCAACACGGGTGAAGGGGACTCGGGCGAGGGGTGTGCCCCCGCTGCCAAGCGACTCAAAAGTCAGTTGACGGACTGAGTGATCGTGTCCCAAAGATCAGCTTCACCATCTGCTGCTATCCGTCTTAGAAAGTCCAGCCAGCTGGACATTACGGACCTTTTGTTTGTTTGTTTTGTTTTTTTTTTTAACTGCAGCAGACTCGTCAATAACCTTCATGTCAGGATGTTTTCAGAATAAAAGTACGACTTGAGTTCCATTGAAAGTTTTGTCTTTTTTTTGCCAAAATGTACATGAGGGAGTGATGTCCAAAAGACAGATAAATGTATTAGAAAAGAATTCCAAGTCCAAACAGCTTCACAGCGACTGGCTAGCAAACAGTCCAGGCTGTACCAGTCAGTTGGGACCAGACGGATTCCTCAGCTGAAGAGGGTCAAGGGAACGTGGAAGACTGAAACCGCGTCATCCGTTTCCTGTTTGAGGTTCTTGTCAGCAACTGCACCAATCATCAGCGTGGGTTTGTGGAAGGCCCGCCTCCTGCAGGCATCATATGGTTGATGTGACCCTGAAAGACACGATGACATCATCTATAACGCAAGCAAGTCGAAACAAGTGTGCCACACACAATGTGTGTGTGTGTCAATAAGTGTGTTAGGCGTGCGTTGCGGTTCTGGTACGGTACCGGCTCGCCCGCGAGACATCTGAGGCAAGTGAGTGGAGGACTTCCGGGTCTGAAAACGCACACCTGCACAGACACGCACACATCACTTGTTTCTATAGCAACCAGGAAGCCTTAAAGGTCAGATACCAACGATTGAAAAGTTGTTCCCCGGCAGTGTAACATTTCATGTACAGGTGACACATTACGATGAATCGCACACGAACAGCACGGCCAACTGTTAGTCTCTAAAGCTGTTGTCCTATCGAATAAATATAGAAACAGAGGTGCAAAAAATACCAGGCTATTTGCAATCCGCTCTGAGCGGCACGGTTTTGATTCTAATCCAAGCTTCTGAGCGGCGATGAGAAGATTAATTTTAACACACCCTGAAAAGTCTTTGGAATCTGACCTTTAAATGTTAAAAGAGATTGTCGTCATGGCACCCGAGACTGACCTGCCCTCCACTCTCCACTTGGCCCCGCCTCTTCTCTTCCTCCTGAGGAGTTCGAAGCAAAGCGGGAAGAATTTCCATTGGACAGCCACCGTCCGGAAGTCCCGCATCCAAACGAAGGCGCTTCTCCTGCACCAACATTTCAACCCAAGCCAGACAAATACGTCACACACGTTAAAAATAATAACAACATTACTTACCGGTCTGCAGTTCCAAAGATCCACTTCCGGCTCCCAACATCTCTTGATAAGCTGCTCCCGATGCATGCTAACGACGGCAGGTTAACATTTGGTTAGCCCGAAGCTAAACTTCATGTAGAAATGGTGTGCACGCTATGTTTTCATATTTTAGATCGATCGCTTTGGCGTCCTCGTGTGTCCTCCAAATGCACCCTACTGAATGTCCTGCACGGCCGGAGTGGACTTCAAATTACACGTCACAAATACATCACTTCCGGGAGAGTGATCTCTTCAAAATAAAATCAACGACTAGTCATTATTCTACAAAATAAGAGCTAGGTTATCACCTGCAGTGACGTTTTTTGTCGAGAGGTGGCAGCAGAGTCTTATAGAAATAATTGAACTGTCCGATTTCTCGTCAATGAAGATTCGGAAGAGACAATAAGAAAAAAACAGCGACACCGAAACCAAATCGAATGACAAAAGAATCCGAAAATATACTTATAAATTATGTTCTCAGCCGACCTATGTATTGGTCAAGCCCGCTCTTAGAGCTTGGAGAGAAAAATAATCCGTCCCTGCTTCTTTGAAACATGACTTGAGACGCGCAAAGTGACTTCCTCCCATTTCTTCTGACCGACAATCTCCGCAAATACACAAAGAAATATGACAAAAAGTTGAAACGGTTCAAGGTCATGCTTCAACATTGAAAGACAACACAAGTAACTCCTGGAAGCACCACAAAGGAAAAAGAACAGCAAGCAAGAGAGCCAACAGCTGGAAACACACACACACACACACACACACACACACACTTGTGCCACATGAGTACGGTGAAGCCGATTAGAATCCTCTGTGGGAATTCTGTTGCTTGAAGATGCTCTCCTTGCTGTCTGCGCCACATGCCAGCTGGATGCCAATTTGTGCCAAACTTGTTTTTTTGTTTTATGTGCTCCTCTTGAAGGCCGTCGTCAGGAACAGGGGAGAACCAACAAACCGATCCAGCCAAACGTCTTCACGATCCAACAAAATGGGGGTCGCCACTAGCCCAGCAGCGCACGGGGAGGGATGAGACAGAGCCAATTGCACAATGATCACAAACGGGCTGGCATATGTTGTCCGCCATTTTGGATCCTTGGCCTATTTTGACCTAGGACCAGGGAACTCTTTTTACCTTAAGTTGAATTGGGCAAAAAGGAGTCATGTGGCGCTGCCGGGCATGTTTACACAAACACTTGCGATGGCTTCAAGAAAACATTCGACACCCCCTCAACGAGTTGCAATCACGTCACACGCTCGTCATCAAACTTGACCATCACACCTGTGTGTGTGTGTGTGTGTGTGTGTGTGTGTGTGTGTGTGTGTGTGTGTGTGTGAAGTCCATGTCAGTGTGGTCCAATGACGCTCATCCGTGTTTCTCATTCTTCTTTACCTGACGTTTGATGAAACTTCCTGTCACTCGTTTGTCCTAAAGGTCAACAGTGGCGCACTTACTAAAACCCAACGACTCTCTGTGTGTGCGTGCGTGCGGGCGTGCCTGTGAGATGTCATTAGCGGGTCCCTAAAAACATTAACGAGACCCATAAAAGGAAAAAATTAGACTTTTAATGTCGTGCTTGAACAGCTGCTGTGTGTGTGCGCGCGTGTGCGTAGGTGCGCGCGCGGGTGGGTGTGTGTGAAAGATGGTCAGTTTGTCTCTTTAATGACCCTCCCGTCTTTAATGAGCTAACGAGCTAATAAGGGAGCTCGTCAAGCAGACAGACGGACTTGACTCAGCCACTAAAACTGAAGGAAATGGGCTCACCTGCTGTAACCATGGCAGCCAGGGAGGGGGGCGGGGCAAGGTGCGTCCCCAGGCATACGTCTGTCAATCAAATTTCATACGGACTCGTAAAGTTGACGGAGATTGATGAGTGGCCGATGACAGCCCTGATGTCGCCTGGGATGTTGGAATTGTCATTAAAAGTCGTCAACTTGGCGGAGAGGAGCACGCGCTCCCTTGGAGCGTTTGGATTTGTCGAGCAACAATGTTAGCGAGATCGTCAACTTAGCGGAGAGGAGCACGCGCTCCCTTGGAGCGTTTGGACGCCGACTCCCAGAATGCATTGCGGCCTTGGCATGCATGAAAAAGAAATGCACCGAAAGCATCACGGAGGTGACAGCTTTCCTCTTACAATCTGCTGCTGGAAACGTTCACCAACACAAGCACGCGCACACACACACAGACGCACACACACACTTACACATGCAGGTTGTATGGGTCGATCACATCACATGGTCAGAATGGCAACTGGTCAACACACACACGGACGCTCACACACACACCCATGCACGGCAGTGACCTGCCATTAGCAAGCTTTTCTGCTTCACTGCCACCTGGTAATGACGCTCAGCCCTGTGTGTGTGTGTGTGTGTGTGTGCGTGTGTGTGTGTGTGTGTGTGTAGTAATGTGTTGGTTGAGTAGGTGAGTGATGGATGTGTGTGTGTGTGTGTGTGTGTGTGTGTGTGTGTGTGTGTGTGTGTGTGTGTGTGTGTGTGTGTGCGTGTGTGTATGGGTTGAGGGGTCTCGGGGGGTCCTGTCTATGACAGACACAATGACACAAGTGAAGGAACAAAAATGGAAAAATGGACAGAAACAGAAAGTGTGTCTGTTGACCCTTTAAAAGTTCACAAGCGCACTGACACAAAATCAAATGGCTGGCTCACACACACACAGAAATGCGCACACACACACACACACAAAGGCCCCACCCCTCCTGGAAAGTGAGTCTAAAGCTCCCGCTGACATGAACACACACACACTCAGCACACTTTTAATTAGTGCAGCAGTTTTAGTTGAGTGATCACGCACACATGCACACACATTCACACAGAGAGATGCACGCACACACACGCGCACACACACGCACATGCACGCAGACTGAGGTTAAGTCAATTTGCGCTTGTGCTTAGTGAATAAAAAAGGTGTTGCTAGATGGGTGGAGCAAACTGGTCCACGGTGCCCTAAATGAGGCCTTCGGAGTTTGCATCCTGTGAATTTGGACACAGGGGCCTTGTTAGCTCCACTTCCCATGTTCCACTTGCAGCGTTGGACTTGGCGCGCGGTCTCGGCTGAGCCCGCTCTCCAACTTTTCCGTCTTTGTGTCTTTCCGCGGCGACGGCGGCGCATCAGTCCACATTATGTGTGGGTGCGTCGTCTATTACCTCGGCGGCTGGTCCATTAGTAACACCTGAATCCTTCTATTAGATTGAGGAAGTGGGCCTCATAAATTGGGCGAGCGGAGTGCGCCAGCGCCGGCTCAGTGTTTTTGATAATGAAAGGAAGTGGCTTTAAATTCACATTACCTTTGTAATGTACTTCATGCTTGATCATATCAGCCTGTAGGATTTTATTAAGGTGTGCCCGCCGCGCGTCCATCTCCGTCTGTCGCCGCCCAAAACGCATTTCCTCCAACGAGCGCTTTGTCCTCCGGGCCGTCGCTCAAGGTCGAGGCGGCGAGGCCCCCCTTTTGTCTTTTCCTGCCACTTCGCCTCTCTCGCGTTGAATCCAGCACTGTGGCTCCTGTCGACCGCTGCGGCTCTTCAATCGGAAACCGCATCTCAGAAGTGCAGTCATGAGCGGCGCGGTGGTGTCGTTGTGCTAAAAGTTGGTGCGGACTTGTAAATTACATCCCGAGTAGTTGTCGAGTCGCATCGGAGTAAGTGGCGTCATGTTTGGTAGCGTCGTATAGGCCTATGTACTGTCATCTTGCGTAGCAGTTTGGTGTGGTGCTAAAACTGTGAACGTTAAATAAAAAGGTAAAATTGGTTGGGGGTGGGGTCACTTTATGGCTTTCAACAAAATGTCAGCAATGAGACTTCCCTCGAGGGCACCTTTTAAAAAAGAACGTTTTGTGCTGACGCCAACAATTTG